GTGGAATGCATATTAAACATACACATTTAGAATAATAACCAATGAGAGGGACCCTCCTGCATCATCTGTGGTGGCTTCGCCGTCATCATAACGCTCTGATTAAAGGGAGTGCGCTTTGACCTAAACCTCCCCCATCTCATTAGATGGAGTTAGTGTGCCTGGTTGCTGCCCACAGGAGATCCTCCCAAACCCACAGGAGAGCTGAGTATCACTGCACAGCTCTCTGGGACAGGATACAAACCCACACAAACATACACAGGATCCTGTTAAATTGTCACACTCATACATAGAGAACGACATCTCCTCTTCCAGTTCCTGCTAAAACTGCCCTCAGAGGATGAGATCATGGGCCCTGGGATACGCTGTAAGCCTGCAACCAGTAAAGAGGCAACAAATAAAGCAGACATCAAAGTAAAAATGACGCCTTGCAATCTGGCGACACAAGCCATTTCAATACACTGCATTCAACACAGATTTAAGAAGCATGCAAGCTTCTCTGTATCAAAGATGATGTCCTGGCTGAAGGTTGTGCACATTTAGAAACTGGAGGTAAATGTTTTAGAGGATCGCTCCTTGTCAGGCTGCACTGTGACACTTTTATCCCAGACAGAGGTGAAGGCAGCGCGCTGAACAACAGAAAGAGCAGAGATAAACGTCAGGCCCAGTTCTTACTCTCTGGTAATGGCTGACAAAGTGTTTACTGGCTCATCTCACAGCCAGTCAAACTCAGGCGCTCTATCGGAGGGGAAAACATCAACGAGAAGGTTTAGAAACTAAACCCGACATCGTCTGAGAGCATTCCAGGATTGAAAGGACTCAAGGAAAACCATCTGCACTCACTTCCACATGTTTTATTTAAATGGAATGGGGGGAAAAAAGCTGTATTTACTATGAATCACTATAATCATTCCATAACTAATTCAACATAATACAGATTGACTTGAGAAGGTTTTCACACCCCTTCAGTGTATGTTGGATTTCATTCACCAGATTGGAGTAGTGTACATATAAATGTGACAAGGTAGAAAATAGGTTCATTGTTTTAAAATCTCAGCAAACAATCGCACCACCTAAGGGTGAACCTGTTGAACAAAAGCATCCCAATAGTATAATGCTGCCAGTACCATGCTTCAAGCTGGAGTCGGTAAAATTATTTTGTTTTATGCATGAAGGTTTACAGTTTAATCAGACCAGAGTACTTTCTTCCACACGTTTCCTTGAAATTCTAAAGGTTTTCTTTCAATAATGGCTATCTTCTTCCCCTGCAGTGAATAGCTGTCCATTCAAGGTGAGCTGCTGCTCCTCCAGAGTCACATGGGCCTCCTAGCAGCTTGTTAAAAATCATAAGCCTTTATGAGCATTGTGAATTTAAATGGACGGCCATGTTGGCAGCTTTGAGGTTGTGCAACACTATTTTCAGATCATACAATTCAGATGTTATTAAAGAAAAGAGGTTTTATAAAAAATTTCACAAGAAAGATTTTAGATTTAACTAAAAAGTGTATGAATATTTCTGCAGGGGTTTTATACTCATCAGCATTTCCACATGTGTTCAAAAACTGACAACATAACAAAATAATACATTCTCATCTAATAAAATTCAACCGGAGTGAAAATATTCTGTATATTTTCAGTGATTGCTTGCAGAACACCTTAGCAGCCACGCATCTTATGCGATAAGTCAAAGCCCTTACTAAATTATAGCCGTGCTTCTGTTCTGCCTCTATTCCAACATAATAAAGCACCTGCAAATTAACCACAGCAAACCCATTAAAGGTGACACAGCGCAGTTCCATGCACTGTAGGGTCACCTTCTACAGATCCCATGTGTATGTCTGTGAGCCATGTGACGCTTTCATGTTACATAACGGCCACAAAAGAGAGAGGAAAACCAAGATCTCACAGCCAAAGACTGAAAAGTGACATGTGTCGTCCACATTCAATAGAGCTTCAAAGATATTTCGCTCATGGATAACTGGTTTCTAACTGATCGAAAAAACACCCCTGTATAAAACTGTTTCTTGTTAAATAAGAAAATAAAAGTTAGGACTACTAAAAAAAGGCATTATTCTCCCCCATTTTTTAAAGTGGGGTTCTGTTTAAAGGGCTTTAACAGTATCTTAACTGCTGAAGCTAACTTTGCTTTCACATTTTTGTATAAATAATAATTAGTTGGTTTCAAAAAATCCAACTAATTATTATTGTCAGATCATTGCAGTGGTTGTGCAAAGACAACTTTAAACCTTTAAATCATCTCAATGATTTCATTAGGTGGTTATTTTACGCTAATTTGCAAAGGAAATGGATGCAAGAGGTGGAGCACTCCAAGTGACCTTCCTGTGTGAAACACATTCTGAGAACAGAAAATAGAGCGACTATCTGATGGAAAAGTTAGGTGTAAAAACACACAAAAAAAAATTTCACTCAGGCTCATTCCTGACAAATACCTCCCCTACATTGATTTTAGAAAATTAAACCATACGCACAGGAGGTTTTTTAAAATGTTCTCCACGTCAACCCACAGAATTATGCCACTCATCTTTTTTTTTATTTTAAACTTGTCAGTCAATCACAATCCTTCAAAAACAACCACAACTTTTTAAAACAATTAATGGATCAAGAATAAGAAAAATGCAATCAAAATGTGGCTGAAGCACCTCTAACGAAATCCAATTTTTAACTCCACCGTACGGCCCAGCATAAACAATGTTCACACATGTGTGACAAAGTGAAGAGATATTTATCACAGACCGTGATGTGCTGGAAAGTAATTTTGTTCTTTTCATGTACAGGTTTGTAACTCTCCACTTCAGCCAGACGTTTTTAGAATCATTAGTTTTAAGGGATGGATAATACTGTAAATAAAAATGTGTAATTTATCCTAGATATCCTGCTACGTGTGGACAAGGCCTCAGAGTGCTACTGTGTCTCCTTTTCCTAACAGACAGTTTATCTGCATTTTTCAGTACATGTTTCCCACAAGAAGAAGATTGAAAGCACACTTCCACTTCCCTCAATTATTATTAGCTTTCTCATTATTAACCACATTATTGAAATGTGCCTCACTAAAATTTTTTGTCACCATGTTTACGTCAGAAGGAAGTTAAAATGTGGCTCAGTTAATTTATTGTCTGAAACTGAAACTGCTTTTTTTGTTTTAAAAATTTAACAAAAATAACCTCCAAGCATTTGCAAAATTTTCACTTAACCCTTTAAAGCCAATTGTATCATATTTAATACATACGTTTTTGAGACCTCTACATTATCAGTGTTATATTTTTATTCTTGAAAATCCTGACTTACACAATAAGATGCATGTAGTGAACAGAAAACATTTAAAAGATTAGAGAGGAAAGCCTCATGTATCAAATTTAATGCAAAAGAATTATCCAATTTAAATTGTACAAAATGTATTTTTTTGTCAGAAAGTTCAATGAGAACTCTAATAAAAAAAAAAGAATGCTGTCAATTATTATTTTATAGGGTTCAGGCTTTAAAGGGGTAGGATTTTAAAAAAAGGTAAAACTTCCTGCGTACAGTACTTTCACATATTTGCAACTGTAAATATGTAATGCAGTTCTATAAAATGAGAATGGACATAAAGGCAATAACTTAAAGAGGAAACAGGCTGTTGTCTCTTGCTGACCTTTGTCAAGGTCACTTCCATTCAAAACATGAAAACATCGTAACTAGACTTTAACCACCTTAATGCTTCCTTTTGCTTCTGTTTTCACCTGTAGTTTTGCAGCTTTTTTTACACCAACCCCCACCATGAATTAATCAAAGACACCAGGAAAAGCTCTAGAGAGAAAGAAGTTTTCTTCCGCTGTGTGGAGCAGCTTTTATGGATCAGAAAATAAAGGAATGCTGCCTTGTGGTTCTTATTATGGTTTCTCTGTTTTAACGATAAAAGTGGTGTGAAGTTTAGAAAGAAGCAAAGAATAAGTGTTATAAAGTGTAAATCTTTGTGTCAATACTGTAATACATCATTTTCACTCGAGGTTACCATAGCGTGGCAATTTCCTTCTATTTAAGACATGAAGCTACTATTACAGTGTTTTGAAAAAGTATTTGCATGTACATTTCTTCAGTTTGTGTTTTTAAGGACAAGAAAGAAAAGGAGCAAAAAAAAGGGAAATTCCAAGGTGAAAACTGCTGATGACAAAAAAAGAGAAAGAAAACTAAAGTCCATCTAACATTTACCTCAAAACGTTGACAAAGACGTAAGACTAGAAAAAAAAATGTGGATATACTAGAACAAAAGTGGATTTTTTTTTTTTTGGATGGATGGATGGATGGATGGATGGATGGATGGATGGATGGATGGATGGATGGATGGATGGATGGATGGATGGATGGATGGATGGATGGATGGATGGATGGATGGATGGATGGATTGTTTTTCTGCTACATCCATCCTTTAACAAATCTTGTTTGTTTTTTAAAAACATTCTCATACTGACATAATGGTGATGTGGTGATGATATGTTGCTCTTTTGTTGGTTCAGGGTCAATAAAAGACAGAATGGATCTGCGCCCTAACAGAAAATCCTGAAACAGAATCTCCAGCCACCATTTTTGACCAGATCCAAAGCACATGATGAAGCCCATTTCTGACTGCCTAAATGAAGCTTTTGGAGGCCTTCAGTCAAAGTTAAGAAATAAATCAATTTAAGGCGCTGTGATATGATCTTAAAGGGGCCCTAATTATCTTAATTGTGGCTGAAATACAATATATGAGCCATAACTCCCATTTCTATGAAAAGCTGACTGCCAGTGATCGCAAATGTTTAACGGAAGTTGCTACTATCAAGAGTGGAACACGCTTTAGATACAGGAGAGAATTATTCACATTTGGTTTGGTTTGCTGGTTACAAAAAACAATAAGGGGCCAATTCATTTCCACTCTACTCTTCTATCTCGGGTTATGTCATCTGTACTCTCCGTCATCTCAGGCAAGTCATCTCTGCCCACAGAAAGGAGGATTACCCGCCGCTTACCTGTGTCCTGTCGAAACTGGTGCATGGACTGGAGGTCGATGATGTAAGGGGAGAGCTGGGCATCCACCTGCCCCAGAACCACGCTTCCCCTGGCATCCCCCTTCAGTACGTTCTCGATGTGGTGGCACACTGCCGCACTGTACGGCCTCCAGCGCCCGTGTTCATTCATCCACTCCCAGACCACCACCCGGGCCAGGTTCTGAGGTGGGTACCCCACTCCGTTCATGGGCACCAGGAGCCCCGATCCCGGGCGAGCCATCTCTCTTGGTGGTGTCTGCTGGTGGGAACGTCTCCTGCTAGATCACCACTGAGACCACTACCCCGTCAGTCAGCTCACACACAAGAACATCTTCTTGGAGCAGCAAGCGAAAATAGCTTGAATCAGCAGTTATCTCATGCTGCTTTCAGCCGATCAGCTCAAATGAAGTCATCTTCTGCAGGTTTCTTTCTGACAGGTAGCAATCTAATGAAGCAACATCAACCTCTATGTTGTCTTGTTTGAATTGGCAGATTCTGATAATGATGATAATGATGAGGATGAGGATAAGGATTGAGGATCCCAAGGAGAACTGCAGCAGGTGAAGAGGAGAAAATCACTAAACAAAAGACAGAGAACAAGCATATTCTTAAAAAAAAAGATGTTTACAGTTTCTGCAGAAAGTGGAAAAAATCTAATCTCGAAATGCTTTAGCCTTGTTTCCGTCTGGCTATTCTGATTTCTTACAATAATCTTTGTGCAAGTCTGTGTCAGCAGCAGAATAATAATAACACATCAGATGTGTAGATGGGCAATGTGAGGACACGGCTGAACAGAGCAGGTATTATTTGATTATATTCTGGATGGTATCTTACAGACAGATCTGAAACCCCCCCCCCCCCCCCCAAAAAAAAACCAATAACAAAAACACATGCAATATCTCGATTAACTGTCAGTAGCAATAAAAACAGAGGTTTCAAAGCGATGTTACAGATACAGACCTGTAGGCAGCAGCAGCTGTGTTCCCACAGATCTGTCAGGTAAGAGGCTGCATCTTGCGGAAAAGGATGGAAGACCGACAGCGATGCGAGGGGGATGAATGAAAAAAAAAAACGAGGTGCAAAGCCTCCGACACACACACACCTTTTTTGTTACAGTCGTATCCTTATATTTAAAGTCCTGCAAAGTGTCCTGCAAACGCTGAGGTTCCGCCGTGGAAAGAGTGTTCCGCCGCTGCGCAGCCGTGCAAAGGCTCCCAGATCACAGCAGCTTGTTGGTGCGCTGCTCTCTGCTCACTCAATGCATGCCCCAATTGTGCGGTTTGCAGAGCAAGAGGTGCAGAGAAAAGCCGCTCCGCAACTGGGAAGGAAGGACGGAGGGACGGCTCCTTTCCCTCTGTGTGACACTGACAAACAGACGCACTTTACGCAAAGTAAAGCGCAAAGTAAAGTCCAACAGCAGAGCGCACATGTATGCATTGATGTTAGGGCAGCTCGGTTTGTCAATTAACACAGAAAAAACAAACTAAAAGTTATGACTTCCGGTATCCGGTTTCAAAATAAATGCTATAAAGACACGCTTATAACTTATTTGAAGGGGATTGGACATGTATAAGCTTTTGCTTCTTCCATCCCCTTTTCAAGCCATGCATATGTATTGTTTGTCATTATATGTATTTTAAAATGTGTGCAGGTTTTAAATAAACTTTTTTATATGAAATGAACTTGGTTAAAGGGACATAAAGTGGCGCGCAGGCGTCATAAATAAATGCTTTAAACTAGGCAGACTTTATTTTAATGCCCCCCTTTCCATCCATGTTATTTATAAATTGAAATTTGAAACCTGACAAATTTATTTTATTTTACTAATAAAAGTTAATCCACATTTCACATCGCATAGTTTGATGTTAAAACGACTTGGTTCTATTTCAAAATAAGTCATGGGAAATATATTTAACAGTCAATTACTATACTATTTTCTTTATTTTTATTGTCGTATTTAAACGTTATTACAAGGATCTACTAGATGCTCTCATCCTATCCAATGCAAATGACATTGTTTAGGTAGTAGTACCAGGAAATCACCAATAAGTGTCAGCATTGGGGAGCTAACACATACAGGTGCTGGTCATAAAATTAGAATATCATGAAAAAGTAGATTGATTTCAGTAATTCCATTTAAAAAGTGTAACTTGTATATTATATTCATACATTACATACAAACTCATATATTTCAGATGTTTATTTTGTTTAATTTTGATGATTACAAATGACAACAAATGAAAATCTCAAATTCATCATATCAGAAAATTAGAATATTGTGAAAAGGTTCAAAATTGATGGCCCCTGGTGCCACACTCTAATCAGCTAATTAACTCAAACCACCTGCAAAAGCCTTTAAATGGTCTTTCAGTCTAGTTCTATAGGCTACACAATCATGGGGAAGACTGCTGACTTGACAGTTGTCCAAAAGACGACCATCGACACCTTGCACAAGGAGGGCAAGACACAAAAGGTCATCGCTAAAGAGGCTGGCTGTTCACAGAGCTCAGTGTCCAAGCACATTAATAGAGAGGCGAAGGGAAGGAAAAGATGTGGTCGAAAAAAGTGTACAAGCAAGAGAGATAACCGCACCCTGGAGAGGATTGTGAAACAAAACCCATTCAAAAATGTGGGGGAGATTCACAAAGAGTGGACTGCAGCTGGAGTGAGTGCTTCAAGAACCACCACACACAGACGTATGAAAGACATGGGTTTCTGCTGTCGCATTCCTTGTGTCAAGCCACTCTTGAACCACAGACAGCGTCAGAAGCGTCTTGCCTGGGCTAAAGAGAAACAGGACTGGACTGCTGGTGAGTGGTCCAAAGTCATGTTCTCTGATGAAAGTAAATTTTGCATTTCCTTTGGAAATCAAAGTCCCAGAGTCTGGAGGAAAAGAAGAGAGGCACTTCATCCACGTTGCTTGAAGTCCAGTGTAAAGTTTCCACAGTCAGTGATGGTTTGGGGTGCCATGTCATCTGCTGGTGTTGGTCCATTGTGTTTTCTGAGGTCCAGGGTCAACGCAGCCACATACCAGGAAGTTTTAGAGCACTTCATGCTTCCTGCAGCTGACCAACTTTTTGGAGATGCAGATTTCATTTTCCAACAGGACTTGGCACCTGCACACAGTGCCAAAGCTACCAGTACCTGGTTGAAGGACCATGGTATCCCTGTTCTTAATTGGCCAGCAAACTCTCCTGACCTTAACCCCATAGAAAATCTATGGGGTATTGTGAAGAAGAAGATGCAATACACCAGACCCAACAATTCAGAAGAGCTAAAAGCCACTATTAGAGCAACCTGGGCTATCATAACACCTGAGCAGTGCCACAGACTGATCGACTCCATGCCACGCCGCATTGCTGCAGTAATACAGGCCAAAGGAGGCCCAACTAAATACTGAGTGCTGTACATGCTCATACTTTTCATGTTCATACTTTTCAGTTGGCCAACATTTCTATAAATCCTTTGTTTTTATTGGTCTTCAGTAATATTCTAATTTTCTGATATGATGAATTTGAGATTTTCATTTGTTGTCATTTGTAATCATCAAAATTAAACAAAATAAACATCTGAAATATATGAGTTTGTATGTAATGTATGAATATAATATACAAGTTTCACTTTTTAAATGGAATTACTGAAATCAATCTACTTTTTCATGATATTCTAATTTTATGACCAGCACCTGTAGATAAGCTATTATTAAATAATTTGATCCTTATGTTTGAACCTATGTTTATTTCCTAATCTGCTCAGACAGGGAAGGAAAACTGAATGGGGTGAAATTGAATTATTGTTCCCCCTGAAAACAATATTCATACCTGTGATTAAGTATAGAAACAAGAAGACAAACATGAATCCTTCAAATTTACCAAGACCTTTTAGAAACAACCCGACAGTAAATAATAATAAATAGCAGAGCTTACTGAGGAAACCAGTTAGAGTGTGAGGAGCATGGGATGATCTTCATCCTTATAGTATCTCAGGCCTCCATCTCAGCAGAAACAAACTTGCCATGACAGCATCTTCACCATCTTTGGGAGAAACAATAAAATGCATAAGATGAAAGACAACTGTTTGAGAATTGAATTTACTTGGTTTGTTCCTGAAATTTTATTTCATATTTATAGAATGTGTAGCCCTATATTATATTTTTAATTAATATGCATTTTATGTTTTGTTTAAATCTCCAATTACATTTACAGATGCTTGATACTTTTCATGAGGAAAACTCCTCAATAATGTGCCTTTGGCTCTGATAATAGCAGGTTCAAAGCTGTCGGATGGCTGTGCATGTGTGGATCTTTCCTTCTGGATGTGTGGACCTTGCCTTCTGCATGTGTGGATCTTGTCCTGATTAGTGTTGGAGGCAATAACACTACAATTTTATTTCCTGATCACTCAGTCCTACTCTGAGCAACTACAAGATGGACCCAAAAAAAACAAAACAAATCCACAGGAAAATCCTGTAAAAAAAAGAAAAAAGAAAAATGGCCTGACTGTGGCTGCTGTGGAGTTTAAGAGCATGGAGGATTTGCTGCAGGTTTTAAAGACCAGTCAACCCAGTAATTGTAGACTTTTTATTTTAATTTGGTTTGTTATTAGAGGGAAAATACCAGGCCAGGGGCTCTTAGGACCAACAGGTACATTTGGATGGAGTGAATGTTTTTTATCAGTGAATGAGAGTAGACTTGTAAGAAAACACTGACCATTGACCAAATCTTGACCATTTCTGTGCACCTTGTTAAGTTATAGCAGAGGAGCTGAAACATAAGATGTATGACAAGATTTATTTCAAGCTTTCAAGATTTTAAAAAAGCAAGGAACTGCATCAATGGTGATGTGGAGAGAGTGGCTTTATGCTAAGAACTGCACTTAGTCAGCTTTTGTCTGTATGCTCTTAACCTTCTTTATCATTATGAACAAGATTACCCTGATTTGTTTCAAAAATCTTTTTTGAATAAAATTCATTTTTGTATTGCCATTACATTGTCACAAGTATAAAGCAATGAAACCCATCCCCTTGGGGAGCAGTGTGCTGCTATTATGTGGAACACAGGGAGCAGTGTGGGGTTAAGGGCCTTGTTCAGGGACCCAGACTGGCAGCCTGTGGGTGTGGGGCTTGAACTCAGAACCTCTGGATACCAAGCACAATGCCCTGACCACTAGGCCACCACTCGGCTACTTGATCTCACACAGAAAATATTTACCTCTGCATTTAACCAATCCCCTTGGGAAGCAGTGAGGAGTTGAGGGTCTTGCTCAGGGACCCAGAGGGCAGGCTGTGGGGATCGAATCAGGTACTTGCAACCTTCTCAGAGCACACTAAGCCAACACTTCCCCTTAGGTGGGATGAGGTGGAATGTCATCATTTTAAGTATTTTCAGTTGTTGATATGTTCAATATTACTGTAATTTTAGAGACCACATCATTTTAACAGAACCTGTTAACTCAAAATCCCCTGTGTGTCACTTAAAATAACTCTTTCTCTCTCCTTCTGGAATGTGATGCAAAAAAAGAA